GGCGCAATTTGTTCTAAAAATAGAAAAATTGTCCCATATCATAGGTGCGCGCGAATCCCGAGACTTACGGTCTCCGTCCCCGATTATGGCTCCTGATCACAACTTCATACTGTATACCAATAGCTTGGATTTGCCAAGATAATGACAAAGGTAGCTGGGGCAGATCTAGGGGGGTTCGGGTTGGTCAAACCCCCTAAATTGAAAAAAAAAAAATGAGACATTATAACGTGCTGACTTGGCCTTAGAATGCCAGAAATCTCATTTCTGAGGGCCTCAATTGTAAAAATTTTCTGAAGGAACCCCAGGATCCCCTACAGGGGACCGCCTTCGATAGTTCATATCTCGAATCCCCTTCTCTAAAATCCAGTATCTGCCCCAGGGTAAGAGTTAGCTGCATCCTACAAAATAAGGAAAAGCAATCGGTTTTACTCTAGTTAGCCTGTAGGAAGCCTTTATTTCAACACGATGAGTTTTAAAGCTAAAAGCTTGTGGGGTCGTGATGGATATAGGCATGTAATGGTGCATAGGTCTATCTGGCTTTTTCTGTTTGGACACAATGCATAAGCCACAAAATAGCATGGAGGTGTTTTTAAGAATTACGAAGTGGCAGTGAATTATCTCTTAAGTCAATGAACTTCATTTTCAGTTGGCATCCCTCCACTTTTATTTGGGTACCCGTACAGGAGACGATCCTTGACTGTCATTGTCTGTCATTGTCAGAGAAAACCAAGGAAAATCCAAACATTGAGGTCGGCCGTTTACCTTCATCTTTTCACGGTATAAAAGCTATCCGAAAAGATTAATAGCCATGACATTTGCCAAGTTAGGCGTTCGCTTTTCTTCGAGATATCGCCACATATGATTTTGGCCTCTCAAGCGTAAAAGAAATACACTGTAGCCGAACTTTCTGGCGACTTTAGGCTAGGCTAAAAGATACTTGTTACGACTTATATGTTTATTACAATTTCAGAAACTCATATTTTAGCGGTAATATTTGTTATTAGTTGTCTGAGATATATTAGACGTCTTTGACTTTAATACTACGGTTTTCACGAGGTGCCAAATATCGCCGCCGAATCGTTAATGAGCGTGACCCAAATTTTAGCCATTTGCAGTTTGTTGTTTCACAAAAGTGCGGCAGTTTATTTCCAGAGTAAGACTTTTTTTTTCGATAGACTTGCACCGTTATCAATATCCAGGTTAGTTAAAATTGGTATCTACAAGCAAGGTCAAGCAAGTCGGAATACCGTAATTGGTCTCGCAACGTCCAATGAAAATCTTCAGTAAACAAGAAAGATTTCGCGCCAGAGTTTTAGCGACGAATATCACTTTCTTTCGACTCTCTGCGATTGTGATTCCAACCTTCCAATGTGACATTCATCGCTAAAAATGTGGCGGGAAATATTTCTGACAGAAGATTTTCATTCGATTTTGTGAGACCACGCTCATTAACGACTCGGCGGCGATATTTGGCAATTCGTTAAAACCGTTGTCAAAACGAAAAACGTCTAATATATCTCAGTACACTAACTAAGGGACAAATATTATCGCTAACATATAAAAGGTTCTGAAATTGTAATAAATTAATAAGTCGTGAGAAGTATCTTTTAGGCTTGCCTTAAGCTGCCGGAAAGTTCGGCTACAGTATTTCCAAACGATTGAGAGGCCAAAATGATGATGTGGTGATATCTCGAAGAAAAGCGAACGCCAACCTCGGCAAATGTCATGGTTTATTTTTACGGATACCTTTTATGCCGTGAAAAGATGAAGTTAAATTTTCCCTGACAATGACACTTAACTCTTCGCAAATTGGTGCAGACTAAACTATAAATATATTTTGTATTCTTAACATATTCTACAGTATGGTCTCATTTGTGTGGCAAACAGTCAGCATTAAATTTGCCAGTAACTGAGATCAAAAGGAAGACATACTATTTCAGATACTGATGATTACTGGAAGTATAAAGCGAAATTCATGGTTTAAGAATCCCATGTATTAGCTTATTAAGGTCGACACCAAGAAACTGGTGTTGAATCGTGTAGTTTCAGAGACGGATTAAGGGAAGGGATGAGAAGTGGATTGGGTGGCTAGCCACCCCTCCCTCGGAGAAGCAAAAAAACGAAAAAAAGAAAGAATAAGATTGTGAATATCACGACAGAAATAAAGCCAAACGCAGGTACCTCATTGTAATTTGTACTTTGTGGCATTGCTACTATTTCTTGTGTGATAGGTTTCAATTGGGTTCCAGTTCTCAAACTTAGTGGGCATGTACAATTAATTCTGCGGCCCTAAAGTACCAGCCACCTCCACCCCTCGCAAAATCCTCGATCCGCCCCAAAATAAGATCCAAGTATTGTACTTAGTTACTGATTGACTAGAAATCCTTTCAGTGTAAATGTTGAATAAAGACGTTTTATGAAAAGTTTAAAACAGTGAACTGCTTGTTGGTAATGTCGTTGTAGTCGTTAACAAAGTAAATAAGGATCGAATTAAATTGATAATGTGGTGTGCCAAAAATTCGTTGACAAATGCCAAA